TTGTTAGATCTTCTTGTTGGATAGACCCTTTAAGTAGGATATAGTGTCCTTCCTCATCTTTTACAGTCTTTGGTTTAAAATCTAATTTGTCTGATATAAGGATTGCCACCCCAGCTTTTTTTTGATGTCCATTAGCATGGTAAATGGTTTTCCACCGCCTGACTTTCAATCTGGGGGTGTCTTTGCATCTAAAATGAGCCTCTTGCAGACAGCATATCAATGGGTCTTGTTTTTTTATCCAGTCTGTTAGCCTGTGTCTTTTGATTGGGGCATTTAGCCCATTTACATCCAGGTTACCTATTGAAAGATAGGAATTTAGTGCCATTGTATTTCCTGTCAGGTGACTGTTACTGTATATTGTCTGTGTTCCTTTCCAGTCTATGTTACATTTAGGCTCTGTCTTTGCTTAGAGGACCCCTTTCAATATTTGTTGTAGGGCTTGTTTCGTGTTTGCAAATTCCTTTAGTTTTTGTTTGTCCTGGAAGCTTTTTATCTCTCCTTCTATTTTCAATGACAGCCTAGCTGGATATAGTATTTTTCGCTGCATATTTTTCTCATTTAGTGCTCTGACTATATCATGCCAGCCCTTTCTGGCCTGCCAGGTCTCTGTGGATAGTTCTTTTGCCAATCTAATGTTTCTGCCATTGTAGGTTACATAATGTTCTCCCGAGCTGCTTTCACGATTTTCTCTTTGTCTCTGAGATTCGAAGTTTAGTATTAGATGTCGGGGTGTTGACCTATTTTTATTGATTTTGAGGGGAGTTCTCTGTGCCTCCTGGATTTTGATGCCTGTTTCCTTCCCCAAATTAGGGAAGTTCTGTGCTATAGTTTGCTCCAGTATACCCTCTGCCCCTCTCTCTCTTTCTTCTGGGATTTCAATTATCCTTTTTCTTTTTTTTTGATTTTATTTATTTATTTGACAGAGAGAGAGACAGTGAGAGAGGGACCACAGGCAGTGGGGAGTGGGAGAGGGAGAGGCGCCTTCCCGCAGAACAGGGAGCCTGATGCGGGGTTCGATCCCAGGACCGTGGGATCATGACCTGACCCAAAGGCAGAAACTTAACGACTGAGCCACCCAGGCGCCTCTGGGATTCCAATTATTCTAATATTGTTTCATCTTATGGTATCACTTATCTCTTGAATATTGCCCTTGTGATCCAGTAGTTGTTTGTCTCTCTTTTTCTCAGCTTCTTTATTTTTCATCATTTGGTCTTCTATATCATTAATTCTCTCTTGTGCCTCATTTATCCTAGCACTTAGAGCCTCCATTTTTTATTGCACCTCATTAGTAGCCTTTTTAATTTTGACTTGGTTAAATTTTAGTTCTTTTATTTCTCCAGAAAGTATTTCTCTCACATCTTCCATGCTTTTTTCAAGCCCAGCTAGTGTCTTTAAAATCATCATTCTGAACAGTAGTTCTGACATCTTACTAATGTCCATATTGATTAGGTCCCTGGCAGTCTGTACTGCCTCTTGTTCCTTTTTTTGAGGTGATGTTTTCCATCTTGTCGTTTTGTCCAGAGGAGAACAGATGTGAATGAGAGAAGGAAATGCTAACAGGGTAACAGCATCCCCAGAAAATATACACTAAAGAAATCAGAAGAGACCCGAAACCAGGGGAACAGAAAAGGAAAGAAAGCAAAAAGAAAGAAAAAAAAAGAAAAAGATAAAAAAAACCAAAAACAACCAAAAAAACCAGAATATGATCAAATATGATCAGATAAGTTTAACTACTATGAAGGATAGAATATGACTCTAAAAATGAAAAATAAAAAAGATTTTTTAAAAAAAGGATTGATCAGGTGTTGGTTGAAAAAGGGAAAAAGAAAAATTCAAAAAAAAATAAAACCAGTTATAAAAAAATTAACTTTGAAAGACTAAAGAATCATGGGAAAAAAGCCATGAATTCTGTGTGCAGTATTCTGCTAACCCTGGAGTTCTGCTGTTGTCATTGATCAGTAAACTTGGTCTTGCCGGGCAGTTCTTGCTGATATTTTGGGGGAGGGGCCTGTTCCTGTGGTTCCTAAATATCTTTGCCGGAGGCGGAATTGCCCCTCCCTTGCCCCTCCAGGCTAAGTAATCTGCTCGGGTTTGTTCTCTGGAGGTTTTGTTCCCTGCAAGCTTTCTGTACAGCTTTGGAGGACGAGAGTGAAGATGGCGGCCTCCCAGTCAGTAGAGTGTTGTTGCTTTTTGTTTTACATCATGTTGGACTTGTTTTCAGTATAACACAAGGAAAATGCTGTCCCTTAAGGAATTTTGACACCCTAGTTTATTACTTTTTGTTTAATATCTTGCCAATGTTTATTTGATGCTTAGTTTGCTGTCGCGAATGCCTGGATATATCAGTGAAAAAACAAAGATTCCCACTCTTATGAAGCTTACAGTTTCTTTGGGGAAGATAGAAGTAAATAATAGATATAATATGTAAATTATAAAGTGTCTAGTATGTTAGAAGGTAGAAAAAAGAAAAATGTGGAAAGAGCAAAATGGCAGGGATTGGGAGTCCTGGATAGGTAGTTGGGTACAGTTTTAAATAGGTCTCATTAAGGGGATACATTTGAGCAGATGAGGGAATTTACCATTTGGGAAATAAGGACGAGCATGATAGAGGGAACATTCAGGGTGAAGGATTGAGACTGGAAGTTCTTTGGCATATTTGTGTTTTGGGGAGGCTGAAGTAGAGTAAGCCAGGGGGCAAGAAGACTAAGAGATGTGGTAAGGAGGGAGCAGAAAGGATCAGATCACTTGGGATTCTCATGAAAACTCCAGGTTTGTGCACGTTTTGAGAAGAGGAATGTCATTGTCTGACTTGTGTTTTACAAGGATGTCAGTGGTTGGTGAGCATAGACTGGGGCAGGGAACAAAGCAAGGCATACATGAAAGTAATGAGTCCATTGCAACAGTCCAGGTAACAGATGATGGTGGTTCAGACAAAGGTGGTAGTAGGAGAGGTGGTGAGAAGTGGTCAGATTCTGGATATATTACAAAGGTAGAGTCTATGGGATTTCCTAACTTGATTGAGACAAAATTTCTCTAAAAGTTTCTCCTTGGAGAATCATTAAGACTGAAAGAAATGTGAATTGATACTGCATTTAATGTTTTAGAAAGTGATTTTTTTGGACATGTTAGTATCATGTAGCTTTTCAGAATTTTAAAATGATTTCAAAAGCACTTATATGCCATTTTGTGTGATTATTAACTACTAGACAGGTCATTTTTGATAGTAAGAAAAGGTCAGATATTCAGTATTCTTACCCATAAGATGGCATTCAGATAGTCAACTTCCTGTGAATATTGTAAAATGCCTCAACTATTTTAAAAACTTGCATAGCATACAATGGCAATTGATTTAATTTAAAAGCAATGACTGTTTAAGAAATGAAAAATAAAACTAAGAATATTTTGTAAAATGCCATTGATTCCAGATACAGGGATTGAACCCAAGATGACCAATGGGCGTGCTAAGATTTAGCTTCAAACTTCTGTTCTGATCATTTAATATGTTACTTTGGCATCTCTTTTACATCTTCACATGAAGAGAAGTTATTTCTTATATCACATTCCTTTTCTAGAAGAAGGAAGTGCTAAAAATGCCATCAGGACGGCTCAACTCGCCTTCAAGTTTCTATTTCAGTTATTCTTCCATTTGAACTTTATGTGACAGCTTTTCTTTGCATATTCTGTGCAGTGGTCTTCATTTGATAGAAGAATAGGACAAACTGTTTTCTACTTTCAGAATCCTTTAGAATTTAAAAAATATGGAAGTTTGAAGGGGTAAAGTTGTTTATTCTTGTTGGCCCTCCTCTTTTTTCAATGCCTCCTACCTTTATGTATATTGGAAAATAGTTTATTGGACTTAAGTATTTAGTTTCTCACTAGAACTATTTGGATGTTTTTGAGTGGCTTCTTAGATTTTGTTTTGCTGGTCTTCTTCTTAACAAATGAATCTAAAGACTTCAATGTGCATTACTTTGAGTTTTAGTGTTGGAATGATTAGATGAACAGAAACAAAAAATAGGGAGTAGAAAACTAATGAGCAGGCACAAATTCAAGGAAACCCATTACTAGCTGGCTGAAATCTTTAAGAAGTTGGCTATGGAAGGAGATGAAGTGATTATTATGGTAACTGCTTGCTATTACTGTGTTAGGGAATGAATGGAGTGGTTAATTATCCTGAATGCTATTTGAAATCTTTGAAAATAAGTTTTTTACAGTTAGCTAACAATATCCTTTTATTTACTTCTTTATGTTAAAACTTGCAGTTTAGGGCTTGAAAAATTACTTTGGGTACACACCATATACTTACCATAGTAGAAATGATCTGAGGGGCATGCATATAGGTCATATGTATATTTTTGTTGCACCAAGGCTTGCAAATGTAAGTACATCTCATTGTTTTGGGCATCTCTGGATGTACTCACTCATTTTGAGTAGATCCAGTTGTTACAGTAGGCAAAATTACCAAATCTGAAAACATTCACTGAAACTAATTCTTAACCTGATTAAATGGATCTTGTGACCATGATGATCCAAGATAAATCTTAATATTTTCCACTGGGAAATCAACTATTTTTTTACTTCTTATGTTGAATTTTGCCAATTTTTAGTTGTTGGTTATTGCAAATGAAATTGTACCATTTTCAATTGTAAAATTTCTAACTTGGGGAAAATTTTAAAATTTGGGGCATATAGCCATATTATTATTTTGAGGTAAACCTAGAATTATATCTATATGCAAGACATTTTTTCTCTTGCCTTACTGTATGATTTGTATTTATTGAATATGTAGGAGAAGATGATACTGAATTTTTAAAAGAATAATTTTTCTGTTGTTAGCTTTTTAGTTGGAGAAGGAGCCTACAGATGGGCAGTAGATCATGGAATACCCTCTTGCCCTCCTAACATCATGACCACAAGTGAGTAAAAACTTTTCAAAATTAAGCTGTACTGGCATATATACCTGGAAGTGTTACATTGCTTTATTTCAGAAAGGAAGCTTATATGTCGAAATATTTCTAGTTAAAAGATACATAGAAAGTTATTTGATTTTAAGGCACTTTTATATTCCTGAGAATCCCCCCATTCTCATGCTTTTATAGAAGTATTGCTAAAGGATCCCTTTTAGGTTACTTAAAATAATTACTAACAATAAAACCTTAATACTACCCCCTCAGAGAGAGAGAAGAAAACACAGGTCAACATTTATCTGTCTTTGGCCTGAGGAGGGCTTTTCTAGGGACCAAGTGCAAGAGAAGGAAGAACAAAAGTGTAACTACATAAGAGTTAAGACTGATAAAAACCACTTACCATCAATATGACAAAGTGATACATATCCTTAATCTATGAAAAGGTATATTAAAATAAAAACCACACAAATACAAATAATACCCCAGAAGAAAAATGATCAAAAGTCATAAATAGATAATAGAACATAACTAGTAGGGAAATTCAAGTGAGTACATGTTAAATTTGTTCCTTCCTAATTTGTGAAAGAGTTAAAAATACTGTATTACTGCTCATAAGTGTGTGATGAGATGAACATAATACATTGGAGGTACAAATACAAATTGGCAGAAATTTTGGAGGACAGCTAAGTAATATAGAGCAAAGCCTGAAACTTACTCTGCTTGTAGGAACTTGACATTAGAAATATAGACAAAAATTTATGTAGTTCTCAATAAGCATTATTAAGAATATCAAAAAATTTGAAAAAAAATCTTACGTCCAACAGAGAGGAATGTAAGTAAATTATCATATGATGAAATGTTATGTAGTAGAAATTGTTATCAAGACTAATGTCTGATAATGATTAAATCTAATGACTTTGAAAAATGAAAACTGAGTTACAAATATATATGTGTGAATGTGTATTTTATGTCTATTTTAAAAATGAAATCATAGCTATATATTTATGCATAAAAGACAAATATTGAAAACATATACTACTTGTTTTTTAAGTTAAATTTTTGTTTTCTATCATAGTCATCTATGACTATAAATAATCAAATGAAAAAATGGGGAATCATTAAATCCAAGGAGACCAAGTTGTATAAAAAAGAAATAATTATATATCATAGCAGGTATATAATAAGGTTCTTTTTTTTTTTTTTTAAAGATTTTATATATTTATTTGACAGAGAGAGAGCGAGCACAAAGGGGGAGTGGCAGGCAGAGGGAGAGGGAGAAGCAGGCTCCCTGCTGAGAAGAGTGCCAGACATGGGGCTGGATCCCAGGACCCTGGGGTCATGCATGACCTGAGCCAAAGGCAGTTGCTTAACCGACTGAGCCACCCAGGCGCTCCTAAGGATCAGTTCTTAATAATATTATATTCAAAGTGAGCACTCATGTAGCTGAACATTGTAATATAGGGAGGCTGGAGGGAAGGGAAATACATGCATGGTAGGCAAACTGGGAGTATGAGAGTTCTAATTCTCATAGTCCCTACCACTAATTCTGTCTTAAAATCTCCCAGTGGAATTTATGTAGAGTTCTTATGTCACCCAGACAGATCTGGTCGTTGGATAGTTCCATTTTGTTTTTCCTTGGAGACATGCCACTTGGCACCTTCACGTCTAGAATGGGTGCTCAGTAAGCCTGCTGTGTGACTGTCATCGCTGGTCTTTACCTCACCATCATTTTGGATTTCTTTTTCATCTCTCCAATATCAGCTTCTGTGTTTCCTAAATCTCATGTGTTTTTTCTTTTTTTATTCCCTTATTTGGTATAGTCAAGACTAGAAATTGTTTTCCCTAGGTTTTGAAGAACTTGTTCTCTTATGTTCTAGTTTTCAGTCTTGCTGTTATGCATTTTGATTCCCAGTTCTTTGTGGTGTATTTTTCATCTTTGGAAAGAAGCCTTAATTCCTGTGTTCTTAATATTACGATGAAGCATCTTAGAATGGGTCTTTTTTTATTCAATATGCCTGATACTTACTGAGTACTGAGTGCTTTTAATCTGGAGATTCATGTGGTTTAGTTTTGGGGAAATTAAAAAAAATTGTATATTAATCTCGTCCCTTATCTTTTCTCTATTTTATTTTTCCAATTTCTGTGAATTGGATGTTGGATCTTATGCTCCAATCGCTTACATCTTTTTCAGTAATTATTTTTTCTCCTTTTTGAAATCTTTTTTGTCCTACTGTCTCAGAAATGTCTTCCAGTTTTATCTCCTAAACCTTCTACTTCTTTTTTTTTTTAATTCTACTTGAATAAATGCTTCAAGCAGAAGTTCTTTTTTTTTTTTTTTTTAAGATTTTACTTATTTATTTGACAGAGAGAGACACAGGAGAGAGGGAACACAAGCAGGG